AACATGCATACGTACATACATATTTTTCCCCGTTCACTTCATGGGATAAGTGTAATGCTTAGAAGGAAATTTAGATAGGAATATTTAAAATTCACTTGCTTTTATTTCTTGCGTAGTCTCATAGGGCTCATGGTAGAGATTTATAGTTTCTACCATCAAAACACGCTGGCTAAGCTTTTCGATAGTTTGGTCAGGATCAATGCTTGGGCTTGAGCCATTTGTGTCTAAGGTCAATGTTGAAGGAGGGCTCAAGTCGTCCGACGATAATCGTTCTTTCTGCCAACGCCGGCGGCCATTCAGTTTACGTTTCGTAGGCGGAGTAAGATTATCACCTAGAAAGGATAAGTAAAATAATAAATAAGTATAAGAGAAATAATTACTTATCCAAGGCAAAAACATCATTTAATATTTATTAAGTGTCGTCGAAAACAATTAGCATCATAATTTTGGATGATAAAATAAGAAATTTCGAAATTGTGTAAATGCCAGAAAGAAAGGGACAGCAAGAAAACACCTAAAAGATATAGAGGACCAACTATTAGCTTGGCCAAGTCCACGGTTCATTCAGCGAAGATAATTCTTTGTATATGTAAAAGCGGGGATTTTGATGAGATATTATAACCTCTGAGATAGTATGTAATTTATATCCGTTCGTGGTAAATTCGAGAATCATCAAGAAGTGGCCTAATAGACACATGCCATATTCTCCAGTACGCTTTGGTTTGATTCCTATCTTGATCACCGCACATCTAAGGCTAAGGCGAGCTACGATACATATTTCATACGTATTATCAATGGCAACATTATAGTCATAGCTGAATTTAAGCAACATTTTATTATTTTTGTTTATAGGTAGATTCTTGAGGCCGAAACTGCAACCAACTCTAGATAAGAATACCTTCCTGGAAGCGAGGGTAAATGAATATCAATATTGGAAAATTTAACCATCAATCTTTTATTTCCTTCAACGAAACAGGGTGAAGATAGTTCTTGTTAATTCATTATTTTTAAGTAGCTTTCATTTTGTTTAAGTGGGCAACTGGAAAGAATCCTTTTATTGGATGTAGAAAAACTGGCTTTTCAACAAAAATTCTTTTATTTTGCCGGTAGTACAGGTTACTTTATAGTATACACCCACGTCCTGCCTAAACCAGAGAGCAAACAGTCAAGCTTGCAGTTTTGATTATGTATTAAGCTATTGCAGAATCGGTCGCTTATTATGCCTTAACTATATTGT